TTCACAGCGGGTAGGTGGCTTAGATTATTCCTAGACGACGCATAATTTGTCACCACGAATGCTCTTGCCTCTATTCTAAGCGGTTCGCTGCAACTTCAGGGCCATAAAACGGCTCGCACATGTTTTGCAGCAAGAATACCCATACTTATGTTCATTTGTTCAACTCATCGGTTCACTGATATTGGGCTAGTAGGTACTGTTTTGTTATTTCCAAGATCTGTCAGAAATAACATAGGACAACCTTTATTGAGCCAGAGGGCCAAAGAACTGACAGCGGAATAAAATTATGGACTTCAAACAAAAACGTGTAAGCTCACGTTGGTCTGTCGATCTGAAATGGGCTTAAAAACCATCATTTTGGTTAGACCAAAGAACTTTTCAGAATACCACTTTCATGATCCGTATAGGAGGATCGTGATTAGCGTGCTCTTGAGGTTGGTAGTGCATGCATAAAAATGCGTTACACAGCATCCCTTCCAGATGGGTACTGACATCATTTTTCTCAACGTGGATCTCTACAGCGTTGACGACCACATCCTGTGCGCGCTCAACCCGGAGGTTGGTTGACGATATGTCCACAATAACAGGGTTTATCTGGCTGCGATAAACGTGACAATCTTGCTGGTATGATTGATATTTTTGTTCGTGAAAACGGTGGGTGAATGAACGCGGACGATAACGGATGACCATTAACAGTACACGTGAAATTTGGTCGTCGCACCAAGATGTGGTCTGAATCGACGCAACTGCAAATCACCAGGGTGAGAGTAGGGACGCCAACGCATCTGTCACCAGATCTGCTCCTTATACTTATGAGCTGAGACTTGGCGAGCCATGAGGTTTTGATAGGTCCCCAGGGGGCACTAAAATCATTCACACACGAACTCACAACTATTGTTGAATTTCGTGGGGGTTGCAAACCTTAATATTTCTATAGGAATACGTGGCTCACGCCGAAACATTGGAAATAATGAACGAAGGCCACTCGCGGCATAGACAACCACTCAATAGGCCGTTATGTACCGTCGCAAAAGATCACTGAGGTGTTCCGTATCACAACAAAGGGCGTAAGAGAGCAAAAAACACTCGTTGCGAAACCACTTCTTTGACTTGCCGAGTGCTTTGGGGCTGACTTTAGCTTACGAAAAACGGTATACTTTGCTAAGCTGATGATCGCCAGCTGCTTGGACATGTTCTTGTTATGGAATACTCGAGACTCCACAGCACGGGCACTACTGGCTTTCGTTATTGATATTCTCGTCTCGTGGTTCAGCATTGGTGCGGTTTCGCATCATTTTGTAAGTCAGCCAACTACAACACGGTGTAAGCGTTGTTCTTAAGAGGGGAGAGGAGAGCATCGACTAAAAGGCCAGCATTTTGGCCCATTTTGTTGAACCCTTACATACGGGATCGTAAGTCAGTGACCGTCATATAGGTTTGGGTATTTTTCGCAGTTAGAAAGAATCTGGTGACATCCTTACGTGATGGAAGTGGATTATCAGCTGAAGGAATTAAACAATGACCAGTAGCTTACGAAAGGTGATGGCGCAGATATGAAGTGGCACGGGAGCGACATTTCTTTGGGAAGCATGGCGTATCCGTGGCTATTGTAATTCTGACCTCAATGGTCAACCCGTTCAGCCTAAGGGTTGAACGCCAACGAAAATATTGATCTGAAAACGATTGAGTGCTTATAACAGAAATTGGGTATGAAGGGCTGAGAAAACTCACGCCGGTTCTGGTGGTCCTCCTGACTTCCAATGCGTGCCGAGAGCCGAATTTCAAGAATACAGCCGCTGGCGTGCCGTTCGGTGAACTAAGGAAGCCGGAAAATGTGGACTACTCGCCACAAGGCGACAACTACTCACGAAACGGAGCACAAAACTAATTGGATGGGCAAGAATAGTCCGTGCAATTGATGGCAGATATACACGTGTCACGTTGCAGGTGACGCAGCTCAGTGTGTATGTGTGCGCGATAGACCCTGGTTGCTCCCATTATGTTATATCATGGCACACAGGAGGATGGGACAAGCCGTGGAAAAAGAGAAAAATTGCTGCAACTAAATAAAATAGGCCAGTTCGGAATCTCTATAATGGTGCGAGGTGCTCCGAGTTAAAATGTCCGACCCCGATTGGTCACATTCTGAGCAACCAAAGCATCGCACTGCTCGCTCTACAGCCACCGGCCATCAGACGGCTTTCTAGACAGCACCATAGAACGGCTCACCTCCGAACAACGAAGCTCAACAAAACTGGAGTGAGAAATCTTAACGACGTCAGTTTTTGTCGGGAAGATTTTGGCATCCGATTCATGCACAAGCCAGCATTCTGAATAGTTAGCTATGCACAAACCAGGAAGCGCGCGTGTTCAAATTGCATTCGTGCACAAGCCAAGAAAAAACGAGATAAATGGTTGAAGCGCACATACCAAGTGTTGAATCCCCCTGCGAATCAACGGTGAACAAGGGTAACTTTCCTTGTTTTCTGACTACTCATGAGTAACATGAGTTACATCTGTTTATTATGACACCGTTTGGTTTTCTTGCTGCGCGATTTCCCCCCGTTTCGTTCGTACTTAAGGCCTGCTTATCCCTCAGTAATCGATGTCAAAATTTTGTTGCCCGTCTGTCATCGCCGGCAAGTTCGTTTCCATTGCACCACTTTCGAGCGCTCACTCCGATGGAAAAGCGCGCCGCCCGGGTGTCGAACCCGGACCCTCCGGACGGTAAGCGAACGCGCTACCAACTGCATCGACCTGACGTCCGGAGCGGCTGATTATTTGTATTACCCATGTACCACGCCTACCAGAACTGAACTGTCGCGCCAACGCCGACCGAAAGACAGTCCCTCACACCCCAAGGTACTGACTCCTGCGCCGTTACGGGCAACTAGCACTCTCAGACTGCCCCTATATGTATGTTTGTACATCGTTTGGTGCTTACTTGTTGTTGCCCCTATAGAAATCCGTGCTGCGACGGTGGCTATTTCCCGCTCCTGCCGATTGCGTCATTGTTGAGTGTACGTGTGATTAATTCATGATGCTTACTAATCCGTTTGTCTGTAGAACCAGTTCCTGTCAGTCCTCAATATATCATCTACTGCCCCACGTCCGTCTGCTCCTATTGACTACTGGCTGCGAACTGGTATAATCCCATAGTCACAATCGTCCTCTGAGATCCATAACCGTCCGAATCTTACACCAAGGAAAGACGGACTGTCAGTGGAATCAAGAAAATGACATGGAACAATTTTAATAATTTATCTCAGGATACCTCTGTTCCTCCGCGTGAAATACGTGCCACAGGACATTTATAACATAAAATCCCGACTGTCTTTCTTCACAAAACCTTTTCCTGACTACCCGCATCATTTCTTCCAATTAGAGCTTGGGAGGATCTCGACATTTCTGTTTTCAGAAATATCGATTCAAAATTAACTGTAGTAATGGATATGGAACCATAGTCAAGACCTCGCACTGGGAACGTTAGGTTGCCTTCATCTTGGTGAACCATATTTTAGTGCTATATATGGCTCAGCGAAAAGAGTAGCATCCTATGAATTAACATGTAAACCCTGGAAGTCGAAATGATGTCAAGCGACGTCGCCCGGACTTGAACTGCGAACCATCAGCGCCGCTCTCAAACTTACCCCGCTCAGCCACCAAGCCACGAGCAGTCGTCGGTGCAAATTTCTGTTGAGCAGCTCAGCCTCGTATGCAGTGGTTGTGTTTTGGTATGGATTACGCGACTAAGACCAGCCAATCATTTGCTTTAGTTTGGCATGTGCATGATTCGCATGCCGATTCATGCACAAGCCAGCATTCTGATTGGCTAGTTATGCACAAGCCAGGAATCGACTTCCGAAGATCTTAGCAACCTCATCATGCATTCTTACACGCTCACAAACTTATGAGCTTTCTGCAACGTATATGGGATGTCGACATCACTGTTGTGCAAGTGTAGTCAGGAACACTGAGCGATCGAAAGCATTGAACTTACATTTGAAGTCATGGAACAGCAAGATATCGATCGGGCGCACATATGGCGTTGCAGGACGACATGAACAAACCCTACCCGTAAGTTTGGGCGAACCCTCGATTCTGTGTATCAACCCGTGAATCCGTGAGACACCTGATGGAGTATGAATATGGGGTTGGTCCTGGCACAACCACTAACCCACCGTTACGCACCTCGATTGGTAATGAGACGTTTGCAACCAAATAGCCCAGCTCAGCGAAGGAGCCAACGACCAAGAGTTGGGTCCTTTTTTCCAGAAGTCGCCGAATTCTTTTTGGCAGCCTGCGGTTCATCCGAGCGCGTGCTGGTCTTTTCCCCCGTAAACACAGTGCCACCGGTGGCTAACGGTGACCAAAGGTGGCTAGCTTTGCCACTGATTTTGTTGGTGAATACAAGCCAAACATAGCATTTGTTGCATAAAAGCCTTCTGAAAACAAATGTAACAGGGTACTCTGGATACTGGAGCTCTATTTACGGAGTAATTTTTGAAACCGATTTGTTTGAATTCACCACCGACTAAACATATGAAATTTTTGGGTTGCCACTTTTGCCGCTTTTAGCCACCGGTGGAGCCATCGGTGGCAAGCGTAACATGCCACCCCTATTTGCCACCTCTTGCCACTGGTGGTACCGCGGTGACGTGTTTACTGAGTTTGGGACGAACACCGCGTCAGCCTCGTGAACTTTCTGGATAATGATCCTATATAGTTCTTCCACTGGAGCTTGTCCCAGTGTGACTTGTTCAAGAAAGATGCGCATTCCTGAGAGGTCTGCACGGCAGAAGTCTCGAAACCACGTTTGAGGTTCGGGATTTCTGGCCCAATAGCAGATGAAATCAAAGGTCAGCACACAGTGGTCGCTGTCCCAGTGGAGCGTTAATTGTTACCTGATCAACGAAGTGTCTCCCGTTGGTGATGACCAAATCCAGGAAGGATTGTAGTTGGCCTGCGCGGTATCTGGTGGGTGCAACGAGATGTTGAGTTCAAGCGCTCCGTTGAAAGACTTCAATAAGCGCCGCTGCAAAACGTCCGCTCGATTCGACGCGCCGGAGCTCCATCCAGGAGGCCTTTGGAGCGTTAAAGTCACCTACCAGCAGATGAGTGAAGTGGTAGTTGGAGGAGAGTTGCTCAAGGGTTTGTATGAGGAATTGGTCATCTTTGGTCGCTTTGAGCTGCCGAAAACGTTTTGCTGGGCGGTTCTCAGCAAGTTGTCAAAGAGCAGGTTCGAGGTGTAGCCACGATCCGTGCTTAACGCGGGCAGACTGTGTAGTGCCTCGAAGATCACGCGGTGGGAAGCAGTCAGAAACACGGGGGTGAGGTTAGCCCTGTTATATATCTCAAGCTATCGATTCTTCATGGGCTGTTAGAGGAACGACCGAGAATCTCACAGGAGCATTGCGGTATATTTCCGCTACCTCCGAGTCAGCACCGACTGTAGATTCCAGATCAATCGATGCTTAGCATCCCACTGCGTAGATTCAACAAGAGTCCCCCCAACACCGTTCGATACACCTGAGTCATGGCATGTGTCTGTTTTGATCTGCGCATTTTAGTATAGGCTTCTCAGCGAATACCGATCAGACGCGGAGCGAACAGCATAAAAGATTTGCTCATGATCTGTAAAGTGTATGGCTTCTAACTAAAATGCCAGATAACAAATGAGATAGTGAACACCTTTGCCAGAAGCTTTGTAGCGGGTCTCAGCGGGTTGAAAATGCCAACGGCCTCCGTTCACAGCTACTGTACCGTATTTGCGCCGTACCCACAGCAGTATCGGATGCGTTGTTCATAAGTGACAGCGATATCTTAGGGTCGATATGGCCGGGCGAGATTATATTGGAGATTACCTACCTAGTCCTGACACGCATCCTTGGTAAGTAAATAAGTTTTACTCTTGTGTCGCAAAAGGTCGGTTGGCGGCTGTATAATGGAGGCACACCCAAGGTAGAGCGGCCGTAATAGTTGATTAAACCAAAGAATCTACGCAGTTGTTTAGGTGAACTGAGTGCCGGTTAATCAGCAGTTGTCCGCTTCTACTTCTGATGTCGACATTCAGTGCCCCAGGAACTCCTGCTTAGTTCACACTTGTCAGTATTGGCAGTAACGCCGTGTGGGTTAGGACGGGCAAATAACTGATGCGGGTTTTAGAGATTTCATCCTCCGAGACACCGATGACCAGAATATCATGTGTATGGGGGTTGACGAAACCTGAGCCACAATGAACATGTGTAAACCATTGAAATATATGAGCGGCGTTGCTCAGGCAGACGAACACGTGTAGGAATTTGAAATGGCCAAATGGTGTGGTGATCGCCGACTTGGAAATATCCACCTCAGCGGCCGGGAGCTATTGATAAGTTCAAATCAGACCAATCTTGCTTAAAACAGGTGCACCTCAGAATTCCACTGATGTCCTGGCTGGCCATCGTGATCCTATTCAGTGCGCACTATTCACTGCATGGGCGCCACTGGTCTGGGATCTTTTCCGGACTATACGCAGCATTAATGCCCAAAGGCTGTCTGGTGGCCTGATGAACCCAAGGCAAATCATGTGTTCGGACGCCGCCCTAGCATTTCATATCAATTTGTTAGTAACTTTCATGGTAGTGGTCTTCGGTCTACCTCGTCACTCAGGAAACTGAAGACTGCTTGGCGATTTTTTGGGGGCGGGTTCATTAAGTGTATGTCCACCCATCGTCCCCACATTTCAAAGCCTTGTCCTTCGTTAAGCACACTCGTTTGTCTGCCCACTGATCTGTACTCACACAAGACGACATGCGCTGATGAGATCGAAGGTGATGGGAGGTCTACGTGGTGGTATATAACCGCAGTGTAGTTTTCATCCTTCGTCAGGCACGCCTCCCACCTCCGATCAATTAATTAGTGTCATTTTGATCGTCAGGGTCCTCTGTGAAGAACGGCACTCGTGGGGTGCGAAAAAGCCCTTTACAATGATCACAGGCCTTTCTGGTTTGGATCAATAGATCCACATTTGTCCCTAGTTTCCGATTCGGGTTATTAATCTTTTGATAGCGTTAGCTATGTGCTTCACCGTCATAATCGAGCTGTTAGCATCGTTAGCCCCTCAAGCGATGAGAAAAGGTTGTGACTACCCATGCAAACTTATTAGGTTCACAAGCTTCATCACATCGAGCTTACGTTTTGCTAAAGAGCTCACAAAGAGACCGTACTCAATTTATTTTGGACAGTAGCATCTGTGTAGTCCCAATCCCAACCTAAAGCTGTCACGTTGTGGTTGACCGTGGTGTGTGATCCTGTGGGCTCTACTGACGAACTCAGTTTCTAAGGGCTCGACCATGCCAGGAAGGCCAACGTGATGCAGCCTGACAAAGAACATCGAGTCCTCGTACTGCGAGTAATCGTATTACGAGGCGACCTGGAGGTAAAGTCGTACTGTCCTCTGCGACAGGAGTGTGAAGGCAGTACGGCGTTTTGTCCAGGCGACCACCCTATCCATATGGAAGCAGCGATGCTGCCTTCACACCCGAGAAAAGACGGGTTGGGAAAGGTTTGCAGTGAAAACCACACACTCCGACCGCCCAACGGGTGGCCGTGGCCGCCGGCGCATCATTCAATACGGTCGAAACACTTTATAAACCGGATTCCAGTGCTACTCACGGCAGCGAATCATCGGTGTTGAACACTGGTGTCATGCTGCTGATGATTATAATGATGACGAGTGCTGCTTAAGAGGTACCTGCTGTATGCAGCCGCATTAGGTGTGGGAGTGCAACCAACCCACCTATCAACCCCCTAGCCATTATTCCGTGTCAAAACCACCGAGGAAAATAAACCAAGATACTCACCTACCAACCTCAAAAAGGTCTCATCCATGTTGCAGCCTTCAATGTCCGCAGCCTACGTCAGTTTGGGCAACAGGTATATTTTGCTGAAATCTTACTTCCTCCTTCTGTCTCCTCTCTGTGTCTCCGAAGTACGCATACGTAACCCACCTTCGGTCGAGCTCCCCTAGCCGCTTAGGATGATCCCAGATGTTCCACAGGGGGCGAGATGGTCCAGTGGTTAGATCGCGAATTTACTGACCGGAAGGTTCCTGGTCCGAACTCGACTTCTCCTATGTAGGCTTGGGCAATCTGACAGTATCCCCGCCCTCGTGCTTCCTTCTGGTGGCATGGCAGTTAGACACCGAAAGGGTGCTACAGCTGAACCAAATGTTTTACATTTCGCTCTTCTGGTGGCTGGTGATTCTGATGCGATGGTCAGTGGTATCTACAATGTGGGGGTTGCACTCATCTCCAAGAGCTAAGGCACTTTACTGGAGTGTATCCCGGTAGACAGTCGTCTTTGCGGTGTGCGGTTGTCTTCCTCGAGCGAGATTAATGCAGATCGATGCGGTAAAAGATGCTTATTTGTCGTATCAGCTTATGCCCCAACAGACTGCAGCTCTGACACGGAGAAGGGCGGGTTTCATCGAGACTTGTCGCGACTGCTTCCTGTAATCATTTGGATCATGTGGTTATCAGTTATCGGTGGAGAGCCTCAATTGCAGATCGTCGTTCCTTCTGAGTCGTCACGAAGAGACTGAACCTCATCGTAGTGTGGTGGTTTGTGTATCTCGGCAACCCACTGAGCTATACCGGGAGGAGAGTGTCCGTGCGACACTCAGAGTCTCTCATACCAGATTGGTCCATGGTTAGACGTCTGACGAACACAGTCTCCTGGTCCTCCACGTTGGGGACTGGAACATGTGGTGACATGTTCCGTAAGAATGGTAATGTACTTGCATTTCCAGCCCAACACTGTTGCCTTGCGGTAAGGCTTTTGAGCCAAAGGCTTTGCTTAAGGACCCTAATCGTCCTCCTATCTAGGTGTGGTCACCCTGGCAGTATCCCAACTCTAGCACAACCATGACATTTACAGATAACAATACCCTCCTGCCACATCGGCCGCCGCGTGGTGCCATCAGCCGGGTCGCCTTACTTACTGCATACAGCAAGGCTGGTAAGCGAAAACATGCTGACGCCTCCCTTCTCACCCTTTCACATTTTCCGTCTTCCACCCTCCCTTGCCCAAATCTGAATACTTTCTCCGCAGGTCCCAGCTCTAGGACTGACTGTTTTGCTCGTCCTGCACTACACTCGGCAGCTTTTGTACGTCCGAATTCAGCCGCAACCCTAAACACCTCGAAGTCAGATTTCAAACCCCGAAGGCCTGTCTATTTAGCTACCTTCAGTGCTCGCACACTGAAGCAAGCAGGCAACAGATGGCTCTTGCTCGTACGCCGGATTCCCTCTACATTGGTGTATGTTGTCTGTCAGGAATAAGGACACAGGACGCAAGTACTGTGATCGAAATGACTGACCCCTCGCTCTCTTTCAGGTTCCAGCTGCGCACCTTTGGTGATGCAGAGGTCGCTGCAGCTGGATATGCTGGAGTGGCTATTGTATTGAACGAACGAGCGGAAGCGTCTCTGTTTGACTGGATACCCGTTGACAGTCACCTCTGTGCAGTTCGTTTGGCAACATCTACGGCAGTGAAGCATCGGTGTTCAACACTGATGTCATGCTGTCAATGATGATGATGCAACATCTGTGAGAGAATCTAGAGGAAGTGAGGTTCATCGCACTTTGTTTATTGTCTACTTACGCCCCAACTGACTAGCTTTGAATCTGCCAAGGACAGTTTCTATGACGCTCTAGGTGCCCTTCTACAGCAGGCTAAAAGCTCAGCTATCGTTGTGGTTTCTGGTGATATGAACGCCCAGGTAGGTAGACTAAGAGCTGCTGAGGCCCGATTGGGTGATCGTCTTGGTTTGGATGCGAGACACACGGACAACGGAAACCGCTTACTTCAGATGTGTGCTAATCACAGGCCGTTCCATCGTAATACGAATTTCCGGAACAGCGGAAATCGTTTGACAACGTGGTGCCCACCAACTAACAAGCGCCAAATCCAAATAGACCACATCGCCGTCAGTTATCGGTGGCGAGGGTTGATCACCACCTGCCGCTCCTTCTGGAACACGAGCGTGGACCCCAAACATGCACTTGTACGCTGCTGCTTTTCAGTGCGTTCTTCAGGTGTACACAAAACGCGCACACCTCGCTTAGCCATTGAGAAGCTAGTGAAACCAGAAGTCAAAAGAAACCATCAGAACCAGCTCCTCGATTGCCTGCCGGACGGTATGGTGTCGGATTTAAACGGCCACTGGGAAAAATATCCAATGCGCTACTCAAAGCCAGAATGTCTGCTTGCGGTACAACCCAGCCAACCCCATCTAAGCATTATTTCTCTCGTAGCACTGTGTCTTTGCTGGGAACCCGGCGACAGATTTACCCTGGCTGTCCTCACAACTCCACCCGGTGCATCATCCGACGCCAGGTGAAACTGAGTGTTCGCGCAAACTGAGAAGCTTGGTGGACCCGTAAGGCCGAAGAAATAGAAGACGTAAAGAATGCTGGAAACGTCCGCAAGCTGTTCCATTTGATCCGTTCGACTGGTCGTCGGAAACCTCTTGTCAGCGAAATAATCAGAGACCGAAATGGCTCCCTGATATGCAGCAAAGCAGAACATCTGGACCAATGAGCCTAGTACTTCGAACAACAATTCCCCTGGTCATCTGCTACCCCTAATCCAGGATCCTGGCCATCAACAGAAAGGTGGGCCGTAAATATGGAGCCGCCTTCAGTCTCCACAACCACTGCCTGTCTAGCCTATTTGGGTCTATCTGGGAGGAGACCGCCCCACACAACTGAGGTGAATCGATAGTAGTGCCCATTTTCAAAAAGGGTACTCACAGTGAATCCACTAACCACAGAGATGTTAGTTTGACGCCTGCTGTGGCAACGCATCTGGCGTCACTGATTCCTCGTCGTCTTAAGGTGGCACGCGAAGCCTTGGTTTGTGAGAATCAAGTGGGATTTCGACCGGGTAGAGGCTGTGTTGACCACATATTCATACTCCGTCATGTGTTAGAGCAACGCCACATGAGCAGACGACCCACAATCCTGGTATTCCTTAACTTCAAGGGTGCGTTTGATTCTGTTGATCGATCAGTGCTGTTAACTACACTTAAAGGATGTTCACCAGAAGTTTGTAAACAATCCTATCTTTATATTCACATACTTCTGGGCGGACGAGAGTGATGGTGAACTCTCCAAAGGCTTCCCTACAAAAATTGGTGTCAGACAAGGATGTCCACTCTCTCCATTGTTGTTCAACTTCGTCGTTGATGAAATAATGGGACGAACACTGGACTGTCTTCAGAAGTATGGTGTTCAACTTGTTGCTATTGAGAGCCTTGACAATCTGCAGTACGCAGATCTGAAGCAGGGCCATATATACCGTCAGCCAACAATTGCGATTTCTCTCTACTTCAAGGAAGTTCTTGACCCCTTGAATAAAAGCTATTCCACACACACTTGTTTAGAATAATGATTCTGAATTTTGTAAATATACATCATGCTTTCTCTTCCCACACATTTTGTCGTGTACGAGCTTACAGTCATCCCTTTAGAAGTTTTCTGCAGCTGGTGGACAAGATTTTATTCGTCAAGGCCTTCCCGACTTCCCGTTCGATATTGCCGTCGGTATCATCATGAAATGCACAATTCAAGAGATCGAGGCTGTGAATATCGAAATTACGCCTACAGAAAGACTAGTAGACTTGGACTGGGTGGACGACGTCCTATGTGACGATCGTCAGCCTGCACAGCCGATCAAGATGGATTTGCAGAGGTAATCTTGTCTGGATTTGCGTTTTGCACCATCTCTGAGCACTGTTGCCTCAGGCTTTGTAGCCCCTCTCTGGAATTTCAGAGGGAGAAACTAGGGCTTGCTGACCGGTTTAATTATCGGGATGGCTATGTGTGATTCAGTGACAGAAATCAATGCACGCATTAACAATCCACGAGCGGCATTCGAGAACTTGCGCCTTTAATGGTGTCAGAAACGAATTTCACTGAAGCGCGTGTACAAGGGACTATAAAGGCAGTCTTACTCTGGTTGTAAAACGGCCCTTCCGATCCAAGGGCTTCAAATATTTGATCATCGGTGACTTCGTAGTATAGCAAGCATTAGCTGGCTGCAAAATGTTTCCAATGAAGTCCCCACTGAATCAGAATCACTACAGCAGCAAATGGAGCTCATCAGGTCAATGCAGTTGGGACCTGTACCTTAAGCTATTTCACATTTCCGTTTCAGTGGGGTTAAAACACGGATGCCTTCCCAGGCACCACCATACGATGCTTTCGATGCCCTGTTAACTGAGGTTGTGCGGTACGCATGCAACTCCACGGAAAACGTGAGTTTTGTCCTTCCGAAACAACTTACCTTTGCAGTCGCATGCTCCTGACAGCCTCCGTAATCAGCTGCTTGATTCCATTGGATTTGATGTGGGTCAGAGGTTAATCGAACGGTATTGCCTTGTTCAGTCAGCATGCTCATTCTTTTTTGCTGTAGCTACACCAAAGATCATTCTCGTTTTGTCACGGAACTTGATGTAGTTAAGTATGTGTGCACAGAATTCTGGTCTTCTGTGTTTCACAAGCAAGTGGATACTCTGAAGACCAACTATCAGGTATACTGTCGTCCGCCAAACTGAGGTTCCTTATTTCAGGATATGTATGTTCTTTTTGTCTCGGACTTTTGTCTACTTGAACGCTTGTCCCGTGGGACGCAATATTTGCCAGAAGCAACAAAGGTATCTAATGATCTGCAGTCGCAGTAATATTCTTCCTTACGATAGTATCTATCATTTCCCACTGGTCTACTTCGTGGTGCTCTACACAGCCTCGGTTTGAGTTGTTCTGTAAGTGTGGACTGTGAGAAGCTGCCCTTCTGTAAGTCCTTACTGACGTTGCTCATGTAGTTTGCTTTTAGGTAAATTCATCGTAAAAGTACATCGGACGGTTTGACAATGACGGACGTCTGGCGGTTTTCTCTTATCATTTAATTTGCAAAACTTCCTTAACTGTGATAAATCCGTGGAACTTTCATATATGTCTTTGCAACATCTTGGTGGTCCTTTTGTTTCGCCAGTCATTCTAGACAGCAACATCAGCTCTACTACTGGTGCTTCAAACCGCTTAACCATGGAAAATTAACTTTACAGTGGGAAAAGAGTAAACAGGGAAGCGTCCAAATATTTGCCTACTGTGAGCATCCTGAGGTGAGTACACGTCGTCTGTCCAGTGTATCACCCATCATTGAAAGGCTAATGTGAACGGGTCTCCTGTTTAGTGTGACGATAACGGTCCTGGATTTTCCTTTGACCATGTTTCCTGATAAAATGATCGGGAGAACCGTTGTCTTAAGACGTTGGTTAGGGTTGACCCCCTCCTTTAGAGCAGGATTTAATTCATCCCTTGGTGAAGCTATGGACCAAGTTGCATTTCAATGGATCGAAGCTTCTAAATTTGGTTGACTGCACCGAAAGTGCACGCTTTCATTACACAGAAAGTCCAAATGTGTAAAACCGAAATCCACAACTTCTGAACCGTCATTTCCGAATATATGGGTACAAGAAAATTCTATTTCGTAAGATTTGCCACAAACTCAGACGCGGCAGCATTTGGTTTCTAAACTTTTGTCGTCCAGAGAACGTCAATTTGGTGAGCGGTAGTTATTCTAGCTGAAGTGGAGCACATACCAGGTGTACGATATTTGCAAACTGCACGAAACTCCTCCAGCAAAATCTCATCTGATAACGTGATTTTGATCACGCCGAAAGGACGGTTGCATCTGGGCCGAGTGAAATAGGATGAAGTTGTTGGGCTATTGCCAGCGGACAAAAGAGCATAAGCAACTGTAAATGGCTGTTTTGTTGATGCGGTCACGCGAGAATTCATGCGCGAAACGCTCTTTAAATGGCCTTAATTGTGGACAGTTTCGATGTCATATCAAATAAACTTTCAGTTAGTGTAATCCTTTCCCTCAGTCCCAAAACAAAGCAATCTGGAAATATATTCTGTATAGTTAAAATATAAAAAAAATATCATGGATGTTCCAGGCTTCCACCAGTTCGCTGGAGAATTTCATGTATCGTGAGTGACTGACCTGAAATCGAAAATTATATAAAATACCTACGAATTCGATTACCTGACGGGATGCCGTAAGTCTTCTGCAGACCGTCCGGATTGGACGGGGTGATGCAATCATCGTCCGGATTTTTTCGCAGACATGTGTCGATTTCAACAGAACTGAAGAAAGCGACGGACTGAAAACGGAAGAAAAGGATCGTATGCCATGGTGCTTATGAAAACTTGCGGCTTGAAACGGTCTTTCGGATTGCAACCAACTCCCGACGAAACAAGTTTCCGGAACTGCGGCGGAAAAAGGCTATCAGAAGGATGGTTGACCAACAAATACCACAATGGATGCGCCAAGTCCCATTGACCCTCTATTGATCGTCGTGTTCGGTATCACAAATACAGCTGATACGGTCACACTGGTGGGTCTTTCTGGATTTGATCTGACTCGACTTGCAGATAACAGTCGTAGAGTAGCTCAATATTTACGGGGTCCCCGACTATTTTCATCGCTTTGTAGTAATTCCTCACGGCAAATGACGTTGCTGTGCGGTTTAGCCAGGTGGCATAAAAATCTTCCTAGATGACGGGCTAACAACCATTGGGAGGATGTAGCATGCAGTAAACATGCATCCGATTATTAAACAGCTGGAGCAATCACTACATAAAGCGAGAAAATGTCGAAAACAACAGTTAAAGGACCGAACGTACACGAGAATTTTCCCACTCAGTTGCACGAAATATACAATGCGGAATGACTGCGTGAGGTTTGCGCGGAAAATGCCGAGGCGATCGGCCATTACTCAACAACACAACGCACGAAATGGTGTAGTAGGTGGATTAATCAATGACACTGCATCAGGAAGTCATGGACATGTAAATATCTAACAGCTTATGGCGTGCTGAAAGGTGGTGCAACTCTGTTTTGGTCCATGGCTTCCTGCTACGCCCACTATGGTATACCAAAAGGCACGGTTCGAATCCGACCTCTGCCTCTCGACTTCCCCTGTCTAAGCTTGGGCAACCTGACAGTATCCCAGCCCTTGTGCTTCCTTCTCGTGGAATGGCAGTTAGGCACTGAGAGGGTCTTACAAATAAACCAATACAACCATATCTATAGGATGATCATAGAATGTTCCATAAGGTCGCACTGGGATATTCGTGAGGGGACGAGGAGCGTCAAGCTATTGAACCTCGATCCAGATTAGCTGACATTCTAGGCAACCAAGGCATGCCTTCGTTTAGTTCGTAGCCCGCACGTGACATCCGTTCAATGGATGTGATGTTCGGTTATTAGGAGCGCTGGCCTCCGAGCAGAACTGCCTAGTTTGTACACCCACTATTTTTCGGACAAAAGATAGATAATCATTCGGCTGTAATACCGTTTCGGTGCCTAACTGCCATTGCTACCAAAAGCACGAGAGCCGGGATGCTGCCAGGTTACCCAAGCCCAGACAGGGAAGTCGAATGACAGGTCAGGTTTGAACCACGGACATTCCGGTTAGTGAATTTGCGCTCTAACCACTGAGCCATCCCGGACGTCATTATCCAAATAGAAGGCGCCGAATGCATTCCACATCCAAAAATTCACCATATCCAATTAGGAGTCCACTAGGCTATTTCACTCCATATCTTAGTGCTTGGAGATACCGCATTTCAGACCGGTCGTGCGCCATTTACTGAAGATCATGTGAGAACAAGAAAGACGACAGTTGGTACTTACCTCAGGAAGGTCTCGCATGCCCAACTGATATGCGAAGAAAGCCCGTGTAAAAAGGTTGCTAATCTGTTGACAGCATATAAGGTGAGAAGGATAAATACTTTATGTAGTGGGATGAAATGGTGGATAAATTATAGACAAATAAATATAATAATAATAAGTAAAGCACTACGCCTATCTGATAAGCCCGGTTGTGGACTGTCAGCGAAGTATGGTGCATTTTACCTCACCAGTGAGGAGTCTTATCAAAAAAAGCCACTGCATATAAGCACCGGTGATGCAGCACATATCAGTTTGCCGTTTTTCGCCTGCGATCCAGTGGGTACCTCAGACGGACAGAGTGAAGCGAGAGTTCATGCACTACAGCTAGAACTTGCGTGCACTAGCAGTGAGTGAATGGAACAGCATATCCCCCTTGGATTGTAGCATGCAGATTCCAGAAGTCCTGAGCTTTTTTTAAGTATAAATCTTGTAATCCCCGAAGTACAGCACTAAATTTCGGGATTTCATGAAGAGTAAAGAAGGGATAACTTCGAACACGTCTGAAAGCGAACAGGAACATGCAAACACACTTTGTTCACGCGGAACCATCTAATATGCAGTAGGAGAGCCTATGCTTTTTATAGCGATTTAATGAAGAATGATATGAGTGGTGGCACGCTCGTCAATTTTCATTAAGAGGCATCAGCGGAGGTGTGGCATTCATTATTTCGTTGGCTCACACTACGTCATAAGAAAACAGGATCTTTACGCGAAGCAGTCAGTCATTTGCAAATACGTTTATGGAAACAAACAAACCTCGAAAGAGACGCGTTTTTACGCCGCTGATGCGTTCCCATGACAGGACAAGTGCCCTAAATCGCCAGTTTTACCGTTGAGACCTAAATGGGTGGTGATACCTGTCTGCATCCATAGTTGCCCACTTTCCCTTACGCTTTCCCAGTCCATGCACGCCTCACTCGGCCTGTAAAAATCCGACGGACGGCGAAACCAAACGTGTCAGAACAACCGAATGTTGAAGAAAAACCTCTTAAGCTGGGATTCAGGTGCTTTCCGTGAAAACCAAAGTAGTAGTTTTTCAGATTCTGTGCAATTTGAGTTCAAGTAGAACATAAGGTTAGCGGAAACTCTGGGACGGTGCCTACCTGATGGGCCCCAAGGAGGGTGGAACCGTTCGTCGGCTATCGAAGGTCTTAGCAACCTTATGAGTAATGTAGGACCACAGATAGTTTGGATGCTGTCCGGACGGTACATATAGGATTGAACCCGCATTAGATTTGGCACCCTGAGAGATAGGGTGGCTAACCAGTGTCAGTGACGTTCACGCTGCCAGTTTATATGAACGCTTAGGCATGTACCCAGCTCAGAATGATTGTGATAGTCCAGCATCAGGCAGTTTCCCTGCCCACTTTCTTACTGCCAACCTGTGGGCTTTTTCCGTTAACAACTAACTTCTTAGTCGTGTGGCAGCGGGGCACCAGTATCAACCCAAATGTTCCGTCCTATGGTGGTGTCGATACAAGCAGAATCTCTCCACATAGATTAATCCCACTTCAGGGACGAAAAAGCGACTTCAACTGACATTCAGGCAATATTGAAACATGCTACTTCCAATGTTCGTAGCCTAGGTAGAGTAGCTAGTCATTGGTTTGTCCACTGGGTCGTTGTGGCTGTGCACAACCACTGACGCATTGCTACACCCCATTCCGCTCCCCGACAACGCACCGATTATACAGCCAGTGATTGTGAAGCGTTTGCAATCGAATTGCCCAGTTCAGCGAATAAACCAACAACCAGTCATGCAAGTTAAGTCTTCAGATGCACAAACTTGTTATCACAGCTACTTCGGGGAGCTACTGCGAGGAATACATGGACTGATAAAGTCAGACATTAGATGGACGAATTTCCTCCCTTACTCAGATGAAAGACATGACACTTCCATATGCCTTCCCCACCAGCCGCAACTAGTTGCTCCTGCGTGAAGTGATGGCCGCTTGACCGCATGGCAAGACGACACCTTCAAGGTTATGACTCAGCAAAAGATACGTAACACCACTTACCTGTAACGCCAAGGCAACTCGGTCGGCCGCGTCCTGTCGACACAAATAGCGCACCTCATCGTGGATGCTGATACAAAGACGAGCGGGAAGACTGTACTTCTGAATCAACCAGCCCATAACAAGTAACATGCAGTGCAAGTAGTCTACGGCTGAGCTTTGCACCACCCAATTGATTCGGCTGGGAAGAAACTGGAATAGAAAACAACTGAGTCAACACGTGTGAGGCAATTGCACGACTGGCTGGTAATCAAATGGTTTTCGGGCGATCTTGTATGCGTAAAAAATAGGCAAACATACGGGAACCGAACCGAGTTCATTTCAAAATTTTGACAGTGCAGGTCGTAGCGATTAGGTGAATAGAAACACTACTAACCATGGCATCCTAATCTTTACATCAGTGACTGCCGAAACGTAATTTTGGTTGGCACGCGTAAAGCGAATGTACAGACATATCAGTCAGTGACGAATACAGAACGCTTACGTCTTCCTTCACAAGTTTTGGATTAAGTGCTCGTGTCATTCGGGCCTTAAGAACAGGTGTACAGGGTTCGGAGCTTCGGGCTATACTCTCGAGTTCGTTGAATACTGCGGATTCACTCCCTCCCTGCCACCTGGCAGAAGGTTCGCTGGCGTTGTTGGCTTGTTCCGTTGAATCTTGACCGGGCTTCTTCCATGCTCTGGAGTGGGATCCTGTGCGTTGCCCTTTTGTTGTGCGCAGTAGCTGGTTGGCTTTGAGACCGGCTTGCTCTGGCTGTGGGGCGATAAAGAAGACGACAACGTGAATAGATGAGAAAAGTTTTATGATCCACTGCATTACCACTGAGAATATCGACAAACAGTGAATCGAATGTTACCGCTAAACACCGTACGACCACAGAAGTACAACCAACTACCTGAGTCAGAGGAACTTACCGGATTCCCAAGAAACACAACAGACCAAATATACCGTCTTCTACCCAGGTTAATGCAGTCCGGTTGCTAATAAAACCTTCATAAAAGCTTAACTCACTTCTGTCGAGATTGAAGAGGACGCATGAGCTCAACTGCCACAGTCACCTCGAGTAAATAAGCGAAAAAGCATCCCATCCACTCAAAAAGTGGTAACAGTTGCACACACATTCCCGACCTCTGTTGCAAGAAAGTGCTGTGGCAAACGACCGAAGTTACGATCAAATAGGTAATTGTTGTCACAAGCAGTAGACAGATTCCACGATCGTCCGCGGACGAGCCACCGTCCAGCCCGTAGGGCCTTGTGTAGTTTGCCACTTCAAGTCTGTGGTTTGGTTTGGGAATCTTCGAACAGTTGGAAGAACACACCTTGTGATGCTCTATTTCTTGTTTGCACTTTATACAGGGGGTCTAATAACACTCGGATCTGCGCTTCCCTGTAATTTGAAGAGCATGCGACGAAAAGATGCGTCTGGCACTATCCATCGTAAGAATAGCCAAAAACAGTCAACTGAAGCATTATTGCAAAAACATTGGATTTATTCTTTACTCGTCGCGGATGCTACTGAGTTTTATTTTAGAGAAATCGGCAAGCCTTGGTAGTTCGTTTCTTCCACCCGCATTCGCCAAAGATACGCGGAAAAAAGTTTTAATCATAACTCTCAAAAGATGAGTAGTGGGTAGTATTAGCCTCTTTGATGATGAGGAGTATGTGTAGTAATAATTAGAAAGATAGATCAGAAAGTACCGAATTCGAAAACACGGATCAACCCCAGTAGTGGACACAGCGGGAGCCCTTACATATGTGAACACCGATTGTTTTACAAGCTATTCGTTCGGCCTCAAACTAAGTGAGAAAACTCACTTAGGTTACACAGTCACGCAGGTTGGCACGGTCAAGACACGTAACTGATTCATACTGAGAGGCCCTAGGGGTTACAACTGCAATACACATGGTACACCTGTATCCCACCTTCATGATCATACGAGCAGCTGAGCGAAGTATATGTGGGCGTGCTTCAAATCAACCAGGGGAAACACAACTACCATCTCCATTGAAAAAAGAATAAGATCCAGCTCAGCAGCAAACAGAATGGGCGGATTGATCAACCACCTTGAAAACTGTAGTGCAAGTTGATTCTAAGTCGTTCCTATCATCGAAGTCGACGATGATGACTGTACCGTTCATGTATAACGAACCCGGCGAACAAAACCCGATGGTGACTCCATCTTTAAAAGGTGCCCAAACAGCGAAACACGTGACTAGTGTAACAGGACAGGACGCCTAGTTAAGATGGTGGCAATGAAGGCATCGAGGCTTAGGAACACTGGTATCGAACCGTTTTCTGCAATAAACCGTTCCCAATTGATGATACGGGCTCCTGAAGCTGTGCGGTTATCCGAAAAGTAGAAAGCACTGTTCGATCTATTGGAAAAGTTAGGATTTGGCTGAAAATTCACTCCATTGGAGTTGGTTAAAACCGTTTCACTTTTGGCACAAGGCTTGGTCAGGTCAAACGAATAAGTTACCAGGTTGGATGAGTTTTAAGAAAGACGGAGAACGCACCAGCATTATCTCTTTTGACAAGCATACCAAATCACTGTTGAATGTCGGCTAAGAAGTCATATGATTTTACCAAAAAAATTGCGCATTTCCACGTGGAAACAGATGATATTCTCTGGAGTTTCGACATAAACTTATTACATACAAATGTGTCAAAATAGGACTCTTTAGAAATGACCAAATTATCCTTTTTGACTCCAGGGTTTACGCTCAAGAAGGCCTAGTAATGAGAACTCCAATAACCTCCGTTGTGAGATATCTTTGTGGAAGATTTCGAATAGAAAACCTTAGGTGAACTCCCGTATCAACCGAAAATATTTTGGCGTTATGTAGATGATAGAGTCAGCTTCGGGCACACAATCCTTCTCGGATCGTGCGACGGGTAAAGTAGATGGAAAACTAAAAAGCAATGTCCCAATAGCCAATTGATGATTCGGGAATTTCAAACTATCCATCCGCACTTCCGAGTGCGGTTCCCTCTAGCATCGCCTCGTCGATGTCTGACCGGGTAAGGACCCTGTGCGCAGAATAAACTGATCGGACAATTATTATGGATATTAGATAAGCAATTTACTTATTTGAGCGTCAGTCAACAACAGTATTAGTACCTGTGGAGAAACGTAATGGCAAATGGGATAACTGTTATCCCATATAAACCGGGACGTCCGAAGCCGTTCGAAGGGTCATAAACTCGCCTATCATAAGGGTAGTGTTTCATAAGGTAACACTCGGCGCTCAACACTGTTGCAGGTAAAAGATTTACTCCCAGTGAACAGAAAAACGTACAATGACTACGAAATCGGATGCAAAGACTACACTAAGATCTATGTAGGACAGACGGCTAGCGAACTTCACACCAATGCCGGTTAGCACAAAAGGAAAACAAACAGTTCGACAAGAAACGCAAGTGAATATCAAGCGTTAGTGATTCAGCAACACCCAGATATGCGCTAGATGCGAGGCGCAAATATATTTAAAGCGTTGAGGTTTTGATTCAAGTCACGGCGAATGAGGACTAAGGCGGTGGAAATAGCCAAGCATCCCACTGTGAATAGAATGAAAGGCGTAGAAGTGGTGACCATGTAGAGATTAGAGGAGCAGACACGTGGTGGTGTGCTGTTATCAGTGCAGAGGGTCATCAACAGAAGTATTTAGATCTCAAGTGTTATAGCCCACGCAATCTCACCCTTCCTATGAGCAGATTGTTGCAGCACAGGCCAACGAAAAATACCGATAACACCCAAGAGAAATCATCAATTGAGGCCCATGAACCAGAAAATGAGGGACCTAAAGCCGACGAGAATGATTTCAAATCCTGTCGTAAGATTTCAGCACCAACAAGACCTTGTAAAAACATGCAACATTGATCTAAAGTACTGGTTGAAAGAGACCTTGATTATAGGTTTTCCATCTGCCATAAGACTCAGCCAAACCTGGTAACCTAAGTACTGGGTTTGGCGAAGCCTTCGGGTTAAAAGAGAAGCGTTATTCAACGATAAACCAACCGATTGCATTCCAGGTCCCTGTGAAACTGTAAAGTACATTGTTATATCTGACTGGTGTTCCCGCTGCAGTGACTAGTGCCGGAAAAGGACTTACCGACAAGGAAACAAGACTTATTGCGAACAAGCGAGTGAGTGCGAGGGACCTCACGCTATCCGAATTTTACTTTCGTCAATCTAAACTGTTTCTGAATTGACTGAATGCCTGATTGGTCGGGATGCTTGCCGGCTTTCCTATTGAGATTTTGGTGCAGTTTTAGGGTTTCATTAGGTTCCGAGCATTCTGGGTTGCTTTCAGGAATCTGACCTTCCTGATATACATAATTTTTGGGGACTAGCGTACAAGGACCTTACTGTAATTTTCATGACTTTCGCGCACATTGGAAGATCAATGTTACTTGAAGACTGTAGTATACCACAGTATTCTCGTAATTCTGCCCACCTTTCTACGACTGATGAAGTAACTGAATCCCTAGTGTGTGAAGTTATTCATAATAAACCTTTTTCTAAATATCAAAGCAGGCACTCTATAATTCGTTCCTGGGAGGTGCTTGTTTAAGCACTCATATAAACACTGAAGTTGTCTGATCTGCGTTTAGGCATCAAGCAAGTACACCCACGATTTATTCAAAGAAAGCCCATCTGTCTAACATGGGTTACGTTTGGTGTCACCATCTTAACTCACAGCGTACAGTGAGGCATGCGACTGCTGCTAATTTCACTCAAACTTTCTGATATTTCCTCTCCCGCACAACACGTTTACCACCAGTTATTTCTTGCTTGCTTGTCTTCTTCTGCTTGTCTAGGATCGTGCTCCGTTACGGCAAGCGGCGGTCGATCAGTATCCGTTCCAGTTCACTCTGTTTTCAGTTATTCAGCTACTAGCAGGACGACCAATGTGCGCTAGTTCCAGCCGGTTCAGTCCTGCTCACCGACAACTAGGTAGATGAGCACGGGATAACCACGTATTGGGGGCGGTGACCCAACAGGTTCACTGTTACTGAATTGTCAGGTTCGATAAGGTAGCCCCCCAGGACGTCGGTGTTGCATATCATTGGTCTGTTGGGTCTCGTCCTATCCATGCCACCTGCCGAATCCTCGCCAGGTCACAGACTGTCAAAAGTTTAGTCGCTCTCAACAGGATAGAGTTGGCCAGAAAGAGCTCCACGAGGTAGACTGTTCTCTGACATGCAGACTAGATTGTGTAGCTAGTATAGCATTGTTGGGTCAAAGGAAAAATATCTCTCGTTGGGTTTCTGTTGGTACCATTCATCGTTCAGCTGTAGCACCCTTTCGGTGCCTAGCTGCCATGCCATCCGAGGGACGCACGAGGGCTGGGATACTGACAGGTTGCCCAAGTCTAAACAGAGGAAGTCGAGAGGCAGAGGTCGGGTTCGAACCACGGTCAGTAAATTCGCGCTCCAACCACTTGGTCTATCTCGCCCCGTTGGTACCATTCAAATTTACAGGGTTCTTCCAGAACCCATATTAGAGGCCAGATTAGCTGCTCTTTGGCCCATTCTTCGAGGTGGCGATTTAATGAATGTTGATCGAAGCAATCATGACAGACATCGATGAGAGTAATCCTTCACCACTTCGGAGCGTATGCTGACAACACAAACGGAAACCGTTTATCGCATCGAGTCGCATTTCGGTTGACAGGGCAACGTACAAATACGGGAATCCAATCCAATAAAGGGCTTTTAGCTCGCGAATTGCGACGCTGTAAACGCTACGAGCCATTGCCTCGGGATCGACAGATACCCCATGAGTCCGAATTGCAACACCTGGGTTCGTCCTTAGCGGCTTGTGGTGCATGACTAATCTGGAGCCTTGCATACGTGTTTCGGATCCGTAAATTCACCGACAGAAAGAAGGAGTTACTGTGCACTGAGATGTGTGTTTGTTGTGGATCCTATCGTGTCAATCGCTCTACCTACTACCGAATACACGATGACACTCAGATGATACTAGAATGAAACGAGGAACCGTGAAGATTTGAGGGCGAGTAAACATCTTGAATCGCTGGAATTGGAAGCAGACAAGCCCGTAGTACGTTTAAATGATTCGATTGGCATCCACGCAGACAAAAAGAGAAAATTACAAAGCCGTGCTACTCGGGGAGACTCTACACCAGGTATAACGCAGACGGATGTTGATTCTGATCGTTGTAACTCACCTGTCAATTTCTCTAGAACTGCCAAACCGTTTGTGAATACGCACTTGCAAAATCTACTGATTGATGAAAATAGTAGGACCAACGACGTATACGCACTAACGGAAATATGAACTGTGCGATTCAGTGATAAGCAAATTCCAGAATCAATCAGCTGTGACCAGAGAATCTAATTTAGCCTACTTACTGTGAGATTGGAGAATTTGGTTAACAGATGTTTCGTGAATTCGTGTCCAGAGCCATAGAGACGAGCATAGTTGAGCACTTTGGCTTCATTGCGCGTGATACCCATAATTTGGGCAATTTTGGTGTGTAAATCCGTTCCGTCTGTTTTGTTCCCCTCCAGAGTCATCCAACCGTACGGAGTAGCACCTAAGCGGGTAGTAAGTAACGCAAAGAAGAAACATACCGAAGCAATTGAGTCACAACACCGACAACAGAGAGAACGATCAAGAAATGTCCATATCTCAAAAGATGAATACTCACTCATAGACTAAGACAGGGATACGTGAGTATGCTTCGATTGCGAAGGAAATCACGCATGGTTCGAATGCTGTCTTCTCATACAGGTGTTTTCTTCAAAAGGGATTATCCTGCTATTCAAAGCCGATATTGCTGTTAGTGTGCTGCTAATGATAACTAGCTTAGCTGACGGCACATAAATTGTATTCGGTGACCTAGGCTAAACGATCTTCACAGGAATATCTTTGGTAAGTTTTACTCAAGAGATATCCTTCATCGGTCCCACTGTCTTATATGGCCTCGAATTCTGCACACCAATATCAGCTAAATCGGAAATAGATGAGCGGCTACACCACTGAAACGGTAACAACAAACGATGAACAGATTGGAATGGTGCATTGCACCTATAATTATTCCGGGTTTGCTGATACCCCCACAGAGCAAAGTACCCAGTATCTTTGCGATTGTGTGTGTTCTTATATTTGATGGTATTCTTTTCCGTCACACTTCTAGTTGGAAGCAGAAGGCCATGCTCCAAGCGGAAATTCCGTGTAGTGTGCTGGATACAGATGACCCTGAACTCTTGTTTGACTTTGGTTGGCGCGAAGCGGTCTGTTGGTAGTCTTCCTATGGCCTCCCGAATGACTGAACACAGGCAAGATCAGATATCCTGACGATGGAAAAATATATGCGGTACATTTGACGAGGCGATAGAATCAAGGATCTATAAGAAAGCGCAGTGTCCCAACTGTTCTTAGGATTTGCCACGCTTGTTAGTTGAAGTGGACTATGGAACGACTTGCCTTGGAATCCAAAGCTAGCATCTCCAATCAGAGCGGCAATCCACATTTCCTGAGAGTCCACATCTGCGCCGACAAAGCAGTAACCGGGCGGTGCTTGGACCATTGCTTTGATCTCACTGCCCAGGCGATTTCGGTCGGCATTACTTGCGGTCAACCAAAGCGGCTCGACAGCACGCCGGGATACGGTGCCTGCAACAATCACCTGAGGCAGAATCGCTCCATGATGTCCGGATGGATTGAAATTCGGGTCACTGGGACATGGTGAAGCAAACCGAACGTGAAGTGATGAAGGTAAATTTCAAGGCCCGCAATTTTTTCTAAAAGTTTGTTTTGACGAGCCTGATCGTGTATTCAAGATAAGCAACTGAACTGAGAGACTGAAAACAGGTTTGTAGACCTATTACTGGTTTCCAATTAAACAAGAGCGCTTATCAATCATTTTTCTTATGTGAGTTACGTACCAGTGATAAAACGTTTCATGCCAAAATAAAAGGTTGAGGGTATCGTAATCGAATTAAATGAGAAATGCTTGTAACGGATTGATTAATCGTTGTTCTTAAATACCAATTATGACAGTCATTAGCTCTGGAAAGCAATTACTGTGCTTTTTGTCTTAGCCCGCGATCGATCACGTCCTTTTTGTTATCAAATTTCATCTTTTACCAGAGCACTAGCGCTGCCACCAGCCATAAAGGTTTGGAATAATACATTGGCATTCTCATGTGAAGGAATTTCCTCGCAGATTTCACCGCAAATCACCGACAAATCACCCCGATTCACACGCGACATGCGCAGAGGTGCTGTTAAGGGTCACGTGATGTTGGGTAAACGGTGAAAACTGCCAACTGATGGGACGGGCGGTGACCTTGCTATATCCATATAATGAAACCCGAGCAGGAGAAAGTGCGTAGCGAATTGCTCTGAAAGGCTAACCAGACCCTGCTCTTATAAATGACAGTCTTCATATAAATCTGAAGGATAGTATCTAACATCCGGCGAGGGCCGTGAAAAGTTGAAAATGACACTCGACTATTGTCAGATAGTCAAATTTTCTAAAACCCCGATGCGTCAACCACTTTTCTGAAAAGAACATACACTATGTTTACGAGTAGTGTTATTTACATGAGCAAGTTGATCACTTTAATCGTATGATTTCCCATTGTGTAACATCTGATGACGCGTCTCAAGACCGACGACCGCGATGTATTACCGAATATGGTTCACCTGTGATGTGCATACAAAAAAGGTTCGAACGAGGTCACAGTTGCCGCCTTCATCCTAGTGGGAACAATCATTAGCTAAAGAGCCACATAACTTAAGTTCACGTGATGAACGCCATGTATGACTAAGCTTTCTGAGATGCAATGACGTCTTCCGTAAATATTAGGATAGGTCAATGATAGATTCCCTGTGCTTCATTCAACCTGACGCATTTAATCACTCAGGTAAATTGTTCCATTCAGGATGGGTTTCACTCCAATCTGTTGACTCGAGGGAACGACCTAAACCACCAAAGGTCGTGTGATTTCTACCGTCTCAAACATCAGCACGACTAAAAATACAAACGCCAGTGAGGCGTTGCACCCACGCCGTGCTTCACAATTACCAATCCTCTCAGAAAAACTACCCAGGGGTGTTAAAAACTGATCGTATTACACCATTCGCCGGAGATACACAATCAGTCACTGGAATGCACATGGAAGGGGTTTACGCGTCGGCACGGTCTTTCCAGCTAACATTTGGTCGCGCACTGAATGATCAATACTATTTCTTTGGTTACGTCGGACAACGTGTATAGCTGAGTTACAACACTTGAAGCACACCAAAACGGCCTTAGCAAGTGCTTAAATGGACTTCTTCAGCCCAGTTTATTGTACTTTTTCTTATCCCGTCAAATAACTGTGCTTTTTCAGTTGGGGTGTTCAATTAAAATCGGGAACTGCGCCTACTTAATGATCTCCAAGAACAGCAAAGACGGTGATAGGCTGTTAGCAGAGGTTCGTCAGGAGGATAAGAAGATTAGTTTATTTGATGGAACATTCATGTTTCATGCTCGAAGACCTAAACCCTGACCCAGGGAGCCTTGAAACCCAGTCCCAATAGGCCTCACATTAGATCGAGTGGAAAATTACCGATTTCCCCAGGTTCACGGTGCATTTTGAGTACAACCATACAAGGGGGAAGAAATCGATAAAATTCACTTGTGACTACTCCCAAAAGACATGTTTACCTAGATCTAAGAATTCCCTCTACTGAATCTGAATGCAGGTTGCACAGAAATCAACGTGAAACCAGATCACTACGCAAGAGTGGAGGAGAAAGACCAGTCTATCGTAGAAATCACAACGATGGGACAAGGGTGTACGATGAAAATGTTTGGCGTTTTTCAATCAATTGGAAAAGGTTTGAAACCGAATGAGAAGTCATCGTTTCAGAAGAGCTTGATAAACAATCGGCGTTTTTCATTTGCTTCTCCACCAGCTTGTCTCATTAAATAACGTGGCCTCAAATTAACCTAACAGGGCAATTGATGACTAGGACTGTAGATTATTAATTAGACACTCCTACTGCACAATGACAATATTCAGTTAAGAATGCTAAGTGATCTACTCCAGCTGTCCGAAAAATGCTACAAATGTATGGCTCGAAGCGAGTGCGCCACAAGAAAAGCGTGATTTTGACAGGTCCCGGGTATGTACCGTATTCCTGTTTGAGTATAAACTGTCAACTCAAGTGGTCTTGGAGTAACATACTGAAAACTCTCCCACAGCTCACGACCAGCTTCGAACTTTTTAGGGCTAATCAGGTACAGTTCCCGAGTTCTAATTCTACCCAAATCGGACGGAATCCAGCAAATACTCTGATTTTATGCTAATTTGGTTTTACGGAAGACTCAAATGATTCCAGCTCAAGCGTTTATGATGTCGGCTTCAAATAAATGCACCGCACAAGTCAGCTTCATACCACTTCATTTATTACGATGTTGGAGATATCGAAATACACTATCCAGATGGAACACACTATTCACTTGATGAAAACCACCATAAACGAGGGATTCAGCTGAGCCCCTTTCCCCTCAAAACAAATTAGTAAACAAATGAGAGTAGTGTGTGCACTCCGTTTAGTTTGGGTTCAGTTGAAGCATAAAATGAACAGAAACCAGGTGGCTGCGCTTACCTGATGTGCCCTAAAAAGGTCGTGGGTTGCCGGCGTTTCCAGCAACATTATGAGTAGTGTGTTACGTCCAGACAATGTATTGTGACATCTGGAAGATCTTATCAACTAGAACATGAGGCAGCACATTCAACTGAAGAGAATCACCATACACAAGAGATTTAGCTGGATTCAGCTGAGTCTTCCGTCAAAAGCAAATCAGTACGCAAATAAGGTAATAAAATGGTCTTGTTCAAATACGTCCAAAATCAGCAGCATATTGACAGGGGTTTGCTGATCGGCCGGCCACTTTCCAGCATGAAACATGGATATAGTGTACTGAATACTCAGAGCACTCGGAGCATTCGGAGTGGATTCTAAGGGCATTCACTAGCGATGTTATGCTAGTATGGGAATGACTTTTTTTCAAGTCACAACGCCGAACCAGCTGGACGGAACTGCAGGCAGTCGCACCACGATCGTAGTTCCTATGGTTGCGACGGTCTGTCAGCCTGCTCAGCTCACCTCACCACTATATACTCAAGCATCCAATCGCCCGTTGAGTTGCGCAATTGACGGGGAGATCAGTTGTGCCTTGAAGGTGCTCCTGACCAGCTACTGTAATGTTTATAGTGAAATCGTGTGTCAGCATCCATAAAAGCGAACAATCTGGGTCGTATTGACCATAGATTGTTGTCAAAGTGCATATTCTGTCCCAGAAATGGAAGAGAACAAAAATGCTGTTTGAACTTACAAGTGGTATAGTTCTTGGCTGGATATCGTGCCGTAACAATCAGTCCATTAGGGTGATTTAAATCAAATTTGATCAAACTTGGATCATTCCCCATTAGAGGGAAAAGTCATGATCGGACATGTCGACACCTCATCAACAAGAGGGGACATTAACACAGAAACATCAAAAGTCTAGAGGGTAAATCCGCGTTCACGTGGATTCATCCAAAAAAAACTAACATCAAGCTAAAAACACCAAAGAAGAGCAAAACAAACACTCACTTTCTAGCCTCTGTCGGTAGTATTGAAGTCGGAAGCCAAACGGCCATTTGATTCCTAGAAACACCATGAAAACAAGGGGGGATCCAAGAAATCATGGAGACGCAGAGAGGGTCGATCAAAATAAAGTAAGGATATGATTTCAAACATTGAGTGAACCTAAACTGTGACTCGCTTTACAAGCTGAACCTTGATCAGGATGAGACTGGATCACATGCTTTTATGAACCTGTAACTCACAAATAGGTGGAAGTAACTGAGACCCTAACGATAACTGAAACACTCAAGCAAAAACACGAAACCATACCTTATACGCTTCGAATAACTTTGCCAAAAGGTAGCATGTACCCGATCCCGTAACAGCTCAGTAGCGAGATGAGCTGTCTGGATTTCTGATGGGGAGTTAGGCGTTTCTTGTGCGTTGGCCCTTGCGAGGTTCAGCATTTCCATACTTGCACTGTGAAGGCGATTAGCCGCAATATGTGTTTGAAAGGACCGAGACAAAGGAGATCCCACTGGCAACCCTTCGCCGTCCTCGAAAAGATAGGCATAAAACAAGAACAGATACGTTTACAGATGACTCATTCAACTTTCTAAGGAGTCGTGGGAGTGAAACAAACAGTTTGTTCACAAAGAGTGAATGTGGATGAACTCAAACAGTGAGTTATTGGCGAGCAACCAGCGAGTAATAACGAACCGGTGAAGGTTAGAAATACGTCCAAAAGAGCGAAACATAGAATATTACCACAACTGCGTTATGGGTAACACCAAGAACAAATAGAATTAGGTAGAACACACGTAAGAAACTTCTACTTACACCCAGTTCACCTCGTTTACCTCTGAAGACGACGAAACAAGTGGTGGACCATTCCGGGAAAGAAAATAAAATATAATGTGAAGTGTATCGGAAGGGAAAAATTAACAAACGATCATCCGTCCCCTATCTACTCAAGCGAAGTAGCGTTAGCTTCAATGAGACTGAAGAGGAGGGATGTCCTCAGGTGCATATGGCCAATTGGATTTGATGAAGTCGGTCTTAAATTTGACCAGACCTGTTCACGTTAATGCCTCCTGAGGTTCTTGATAGAACATCTCAAGAGGAATCTCAGAAATCATAGAGACATGAAGAGGACTCGATATGACGTTGAGATATCCCTCTGATACGAAGCCTTCAAAACACAGTAGCTCAGTGTCGAGCCTGCTGAGAAATTTCAGTACAGGGACATCCCATAAAAATGTAAGAACGTCTTGGCATAAGAAAGCATCTTTAGACCAACAGTGGTAGGGCTAACTGGGGCAGAAAGAGGGTGCTGTATGCGGCAATGCCAAAAAACATGTTGCACTGTACCGATCTGTTGCAAGGCAACACAAAAGTACCAAAACTGTATCTCTGTAAGTTTTGTTGAAATAAATCCGGTCGGTTCCACTACAGTTGCGTTGTATGTGCTCAGACATTGAGATTCGCGTCACGGTTGGTACGAAATATGTACACTTGGCAACTAAACTTGAATATGCTGGAATAAAGCGACCAAAATACAGAAACGACGAAAGTTTTGTATTTCAGCAAAAAGTGGGGAACTGGCCGAGCATGAGATTTTGACGTCTGCAGCGTGGAGAAATGAATTGAAGATTCGACGGGCTGATTAAACTCGATCTATTTATGTTGACGTAGTACGTGCGTCATAAAACTTACTGGTCACGCCAATGAGCACGTTTCATGAGAGCAACGGCCACATAGACCCGTTAGATAACAAAACAGATGACGGAGACAATACTTGGTTATCGATTGAAACAACTGAGTAGAACGAAAAGTCTGGGGACGGTGCAAGACCGTCCCCCTCTAGGGAGAATTATGCGAAGGCCCAAATTTCTATCCCAACCTGTGTAACATCTTTCCACAGAGCTCTAGTAGGTTGTGTCCCAGTAGAGGATGGTTCATAAGGAATGAATCCAGTGTTTTTTTACAAGAACTACTTCCCCATGCAATCTTACTCACATTGGATTGGTATTATCTCAGACAGGACATCTGTAATAAAGGCAAGCGAGAATCGTACGCCACTGTACGGTTAAATGCCGCTTTCGATGTCACATTCAATACTATCGAAACGTCGAAATTTCCTCCCATACCGAAGTGGGTTATATTGAATCTTACTAGGAAATATCCTGAAACACACGTATTAAAACCGTCATGTACCAGCAAGCCCACATTCCTCGAATGACAGAATGGCACACTGTTCATTTGTGTTGATGATGCAATAAACCAAGATTTCATTAATCATCGCACTTGTTCTGACTCAGTGACTTTTGTTCCTTGGTGCGGTACACCAGCCGAGGCATGGGAAGGCACGTTCGGCTCCGATTAACCGCAGCGAACAAGCACTTAGAGAAGAGATCACCAGGATGACTCCGGATGCAGAAAGTGGAAACCTCATTGACCAAAGACTGTGCTCGCGTGAATAGACAGGTATGCCTAAACAGTTCCAATATCCTGAGATCATATAAACCATGTAGGGCTCTGAGGCGAGTGGGAATTTCCGGTAGCTCGAATATGAGGAGTGCGGATAAACCATTATTAAAAGATTCAACTCCATAAACAGTCCATCGTGCTATCTCATGATGATTGAGCACCAATAATCCCGCTACCAAATACGCCCAAGAGAGGGATTGCTACATTTTGTTATCTTTTTAAAAGTACCCTTACTAAGATAAAACCGGACTATTCCGTTTTTGGATTGGAAGCCGCTCCCTGCCGGGAAACAGCGAAGATTTGTATGATGCCCGGATCTTCAGTTGAGAAGAATCACATCAAAAGCCCGCGTTTTGAAAGCGACACGACCGAAGTCACGCACAATACAAAAAAGTGCAACTGCAGTGGCAAGAATGACTAAGCGAATCACTTACATCGTGTGGTAGATGATTGAACCAGCAGGTTGGGATAACTGGATTGACCGTATCAACTGCACGTCGATTCTTCTGACGACGATTGGATTTGGGGTTTTTATTCGGCACGGCCTGCTTCACACACTCATAGCGCTTCGGATCCAACCAGAACGCGGGACCACGAATCTGCATAAAGTATGCCAACCAATGGGGGAGTGGATAAAAATGTAATGAGAGACTATGCGGGGTTTTTCGTTGAAACGGGTCCTACTAGGAAAAGCCTCCATGGGTCTGATTTAGTCAGGATAACCGACTTGCAACGCATTAAGTTTTTAGACATTCGCACCGCATAACTGTGCAATGGCGACAAGTTAAAGATTAGTCTATAAAAGCTTTGGGAGAACCCATCGACAAAATTGAAAAGTATGTCCAAAACGACACTTCATCGTGCACAACATCTGGATTGGTACACAGCTCTGCGAAGACCGAAATATTAAATAATTCGGATTATGGAATCAAAAGGAACTCACCTGCATTTCGCCGATGTATTCATAAACCGGTTCGGAGGAACCCTAAATTTTGAAAAAAAAACGGTAAGATGAACAGCTGACGCTGGCTGAAAGACTGATTAGCAACAATATTGACAATCCCTACAGAACGCACTTGCGCTACCAAGCACCACTTTCTCACAAGATTTTCATATTGCAGGAAATTGTCTCCAGTACTATCGAACCCTAGCCAGAGAGCTTGCCCGTATAACTGTAGTATGTGACGAAGAACTGTTGAACCTTTCCCTCGTTTACCGAAGCGCGCCACACGGCCAGTAACTGTAACTGCCGGTATGAATTGAAGTGATTTCTTGTTTCAGTCTATGCGATTAAACAAAATATGGATCGTTCAGTTGTAGCACCGTTTCGGTGACTATCTGCCATGCCACCAGAAGGAAGCACGAGGGCTGGGATACTGCCGCCTAGACAGGGAAAGTCGAGAGGCACAGTTTGGGTTAGAACCACAGACCTTCCGGTCAGTAACCACTTGGTCAATCTCGCCCCCATAATTTGGTAGGAAAAGTTAAATACTCACTTGACTGCTGTCAGTCTTTTTTTTTTAAATTATCCCTCAACTATGTTAAAAATTGCAAGACTGGGGTGCATGACTTACACCGCCGGTAAGTGCGTTCACACGGAGATTAGTGCGCTGAAGCTGGATGGGATAAACATAATAAAGGCGGGCATTAACAAAAAAAAACAAATTCTACCAAAGTAAAAGACTGTACTTCAGAGTTTCAGATAGATCCACGAGTGTCCAGTTTAAATCCATCTGCAATCTCATCTATCTTTGTGAAGCGGCTTTTTTAAAACTGCTACATTAAAAACCGACATTTACTAGATTTGCTCTTACACTGTCACTGCCACGCCTATAATTTACTCATTAATGTCCCGTGTGTAGCTTTTTCATACGTAACGGGGTCCACTACTTATAGCTGCACCTTCAGATGGTCGTTAGCTCAAAAGTGTTCCACGTAGTCCCATATCATTCCGCGCTGATCCGATTGAGAGAAGCTGGTCCAGTAGACATTCGTGGACCGAAATTTCGACGACGCCCATATGGCCGCTTTCGAACTGACTGTTGGCCCCATCGCAGTAAGTGAGGAGGTAAAAAGAACCATTTTTCTTTGTAACTTACTTGGCGATTGGGGCCATAATCGTCCGACCTGGTGCCCAGGTTACGAATAGCTGATATGGTTGCAAACAAGCGAGCTCGTTCTTCCGGTTCCAGAGGCATAGCTTGGATACTTCGTTGAAGTTCATCCATCAGATGGTCATCGCGAGAATCCGGCACGGCTCGTTGGCGGTATGCTGAGGCGAAGTCGCCGTTCGGATTGTCAGATAAGTCTGATAAAAATCGACGTTGCATTGCAGCCGACCAGTACGACAAATAAGCGCTACATAGGCAAAGAGAGATGTTACACACAGATGAACCGCCAGTAAGGAGAAGAGAATCAATGTACTTTGACACTTTATGACTCGTAACGTAGAGAGCATGACAGAAATTCGGATGTTCGGAAAGGGTTAGAATTTATGGGGCTGCATACTTACCCATATGGAAATGAATATTCTACCCGACCTGCAGCTGTCTCTTTGCTTACAGGGATTCTAGAACGCAGAGTCATATTGCAGAAATTATTGACAGATTCACTGACGATCGTCCTGTCTTGATTTTGTTTGGTGTTCTCACCGTCTGATACACTCGGGGAGTTAGCTTGCACATTACAGTTGACTGAGGTTTCTTCATAGAATCGAGGGTCACCGTACGGCTGGGGTGCTCGACCTGGTATAAGAACACCCCATTTTAGTTCCTGAGTAGGGGCACATAAAACAAGGCCTGGTATTGAGTAACTTCGGGTGGATTTTGAAAGCGGGTTATTGTGGAAAAAATGGCTCATGAAACATACGAATAACATATACAATGTAATACATATATCCAATACATATCGGTGTACAAAACAGTCCATAGAACAGATTACAGAAGTAGAACCTCAACCATGCTGAGTTCAGCTTTACTTCTCTGAGAAGCATAAAAGCCGCACGGCACTTCCTACCGACAATAGGAATACAGGTTACCTCTTGGTTCAACAATGGAGGAAGAACGATCGCCTTTCTCAGTCAGGTATATGCGTGTAGTCGCACTGGTTCTCGACCAACAGAGGGGTCTCAAAGTTTCAGGATGGAAGAAAAGCCGCGAGTTCACCGCCGAAAATTCCTCCATATTGACTTTAATTGAAGCGCGCATCCACCTCATCGTCATCCATACTATTGGGAACAACACAGTAGCACTGGAAACCCGGAATTAACTGCCATACAACGCTTAAAGAACGACGCCTGGGTAAGGTGGAAAGAAGTGCGAAGGGTGGGAATCTGGAGCAAAGTGCCTTGTGTCAACTGCAACTGCAAGGTGCAGACACTTCCAAAGGGCACCAAAGCAAACACGTCTGAACAGCAGCGGGATTGACCCCATATCTTTTCTATAGAGGAAAATGTTGGTAGCTCAGGTATCGTAGATGGTGGTCGTTGGCTTGTTCGCTGAGCTGGGCAATTTGATTGCAAACGTTTCATCACCAATCGAGGTGACATCATCAGTGCGTTATTGTGGAGCGTAGTAGTGCGTACCGGTGGGTTGGTGGTTGTGCGTTGGGTAGTGTTGTGCGTGTGTTAATATACGTGCTGCTAGCAGGGGATGACCTTTGGTCGCGATTAGTTGTTCGGTCGGGTGATTCCATTGGTTGCTCCGTTGTCCTGTATCCCCATTCGCCGATGCCCACGTGACCTTTGAGCTTGGCATCCCCTCCGTCGTAATCTGGTCGAAGCTAGATTGACCTTTGTCCCTTCCAGTCCTGCGTTGTGACCTTTATTGATTTGCCTCCAAGGAGTTCCTTGTTTCGTTGTTTGTGAATCCAATATTCGGTCTTCCTTGAGTTTTCCGGTTGAGTTGTTGGTCTTTTGCACGTAGGGGTGCGTAAATTGGGTCCAGTTCGATGCACCGGTTGATCGAATTTGCCGTCGAGTACCATGCTTCCAGAAATTCTCTTCCGTGCCTCGTGCGTCCGTATACCAAAATTTCTGCGTTTTCCAAGTTGAATTTGTGGCCTTCTTGGTCCTCGTGTATGGATATCAAGGACAGGGGGTCATGCCTCCTGACGGCCGCGTTGTGTTCCTTTATTCGCGTGCATAGTCTCCTCCCAGTTTGTCCGACGTAGAATTTGATGCAGTTGTCGCAGTTGAGTTGGTATATCACACTGTTCTTCTTGGTTTTGTCCGGGTTGTCCTTCGGTCTAGAGATTAATTTCCTCAGGGTGGCATTCGGTTTGTGGGCCACAAATATTCCTTTTTGAGCCAATAATCTGGTCGCGAGTTCTGATATATTCCTGATGTAAGGCAGGACTACCCGTCTGGTGGCTTGTTCTTGCTGTTGCCGTGGTTGGGGTGTCTTCTTCTTCAAGCTTCTCTTGATAAAATTCCTTGGATATCCATTGTTCTGGAATACCCTGAGTAGATGGTTTTCTTCCTTCTTCCGCAGTTCTGTGGTGCTGCAGTGTGTCTCCGCCCTCTTGAACAAGGTTTGGACGCAGCTCTTCTTGTGGTTTACTGGGTGATTGCTGTTGTAGTTCAGGATTTGATCTGTATGAGTCTCCTTCCGGTATACACAGGTTTCCAGAGTCCCATCCATCTTTCTGTTCACTAGAACGTCTAAGAATGGTAGTCGATTGTTTCTTTCCAGTTCGATTGTAAACTTGATATCTTCAAAAGTGGTGTTGAGCAGTTCATGTGCCTCGTGCACTGAATCCCGTTTCATGATGACAAAGGTGTCGTCCACGTAGCGGATCCAAAGTTTTGGATTGATGATCGGCAGTACCGCATGCTCTAACCTTTGCATTACCGCCTCAGCAATAAATCCTGATATTGGAGATCCCATTGGAGTTCCTTTCAGCTGTTGATATATTTGTCCATCGAAGGTAAAGTATGTATCCATGCAAAAGTCCAGCAGTTTGCCTATACTTTCAGGTTTCATGGTTCCTGTCGTGTTGGGCTTAGTCTGAAGCAGTTCTGCTATGGTTGTCCTGGCGAGGTTGTGGTTGATTGAAGTGAACAGCGATGTGACATCAAATGAAAGCATGACTTCATCGTCTTCTATACTGACGTTCCGTAGTTTGTGTAGGAACTGACCTGCATTATTGACTGTGTGTTCCGATCCGGAGATTAAGTGTTTTAATCTTCTCCATAAGTCTTTTGCTAATTTGTAAGTTGGGGTTCCCGGAAGTGAAACGATTGGTCTAAGTGGAGTTCCTTCTTTGTGCACCTTTGGTAGTCCGTAGAATCGTGCAATGTTGGTATCATCGGCTTTCATTTTCCATCGTTCCTGTCTGGTTATCTCGTGTGTTTCTTGCAGTTTCTTGAGTGTCGTGTTGATTCGATTGATGACGTTTGAAGTTGGGTCATGATCAATTGGTTTGTAGGTCGTGGTGTCATTTAGCAGTTGTTTTGCCTTTTCAATGTAATCTGGCTTGTCCATTATCACCATGATGCGTCCTTTGTCTGCCGGTAGTATTACGATTGTTTCATCCTTTCGTAGACTTGTGAGTGCGTCTCGTTCTTGTTTGGAAATCAGTTGCATGTTTCTATTCCGCGTGACCGCCGGTACGATTGTCTGTCGTATCTGTTGTTGAACCTCCCGGGACATTTCGTTTGTTTTCAGGGCATGTTCTAAGCTGGCTAGGTAATCCTTGTAAGATGCGTCTTCGACGTTGAAGTTGATCCTTTCATTTCATTAGCAGTTCCTGCTCAGCTGTGCTGAGTTGGCGGCCAGATAAATTCTTGATCCAAGCGTCGCAATTATTGTGTTTGTTGTTCCTCGTGAGCTTGCGCAATTTTGTCTCCATGGCTGTTCTGCGTTTGATCTTGACATTGTCTACTCGGCGTCCGATTGCTGCTTCAAGTTCTGCCAAGTGTTGAGGACTGGTTTTAGTCAAACAATTTATTTTGCTCTCATTAAGTACTCTTTCGTATTTTTTGAGACGGTTGTGGGCATCTGTTATCATTAACTCAACCATTCGTCTGCCATACTGTCTTGCTAGGGCCCACGCCTGCGGATGGTCTAGCGCAGGTCTGTGATTAGTACTGGGTGGCAGCACGTTCCTACGTAGGCATTCATGGAGGAAGTGTAATTGTTCGCGCGTAGAGTCTTGTCGGCAGGCGAAGTTTTCCCAGCGACGAGCTTCTTTTAGCGTTGCACACCCGAATTGGTTTTCTATAGCTACAGCTGATGATGTCACCTCGATTGGTGATGAAACGTTTGCAATCAAATTGCCCAGCTCAGCGAAAAAGCCAACGACCGACCCCATATCTCTTGTGCATCCATCCAACAGGAGTCCAGAGTGCGACAAACAAACGTTAACAAAGCGATCCAGCTGAGACGCAGAATACTGCTCGTCACTGGTACTGCGCTTTGAAGATTCCAGCTAAATGCAAGGAGATTAATGTGGACACCAGACAGCAGGGCACGAAAATCCTATGATACTCAGCATAACTGTGGCCACTGTTATTTTGCATTGCTATCATAGTCTGTTCCTCTAGTAAAATTTTGAAATGGGATGCAAAACCTTCTTGGACAGACAGTTCTTAAGCATTCGTGGAGCACAGCTGATAATTTTGATTTACAGATTCTGGTTCGTTACAAACTATTCGTTTTATGCACCAATTCGTTGCAGAGACGCCTAAAACGACTACAAAGGCACCAGTGACCAAATGTTTGAAAAGGTTAAGGAGCTTGAGACCCAAGGTAACAAGTTTCCCAACCATACCATGTATCTCTTCTCAGAGAGCGTCTTGTATACAGGGCTCCCAAGATTCCACGTAACCCATTTCTCATGTCATCGATGCCACAAGTTGCTGGTCATTGGTCGCAATGTGATGGCGAGCGAACTGACTTCATTTTCCGTAAAATTTCGACATACATATTAACCGGCCAATAAACTGAAGCCCACTGGTTCCGAAGATTCAGAGTCGGAAGAGTTTGGGAAACCGAAAATAAAACCTTGCACCTCAAATGTGCGAGGTCAAATGAAGGGTCGCTTCTTATATTCTATTTGGAGTAATTCGGATGACTGTCATAGGACAAAGTGATATTGTCCGAATAATAAAGCAAGGTCTGTGGTTCGAACCCAATCTCTGTATCTCCGCTACTTCTGTCTAGGCTTGGGAAACCCGGCAGCATCTCAACCTTCATGCATGGCAGTTAGGCACTGAAAGGGTAATACAGCTGAAATACTATTATTGATTACTAAACTAGGTTCTTTGTGCAAGGTGTGACTGGGACATCTAGATTCTGATCCCTTGGATTGTCTGGACAAAAAGGGGGAGAGCCGATAATCCTGACAAATCGCACTAGTTGTAAGAAAGCTTTTGGACAGCTAACTATACATTATAGTGTTGCCGAAAGTATGGAAAGGGAGACACGAAAGTACTCGAAGAGTTCAAGAACGCAGAAATGGATAACCATCCAGGGAGTTCCCTGAATTGCTGGTCGGCAGTATTCCCAGTACCGCACAAGCAAATGCCGTAATGCAGAAATGGTGCCCTCATAACCGTATTTTGCGTACAGTTAGGGGATGTGATATTAGGGGAGCTAGTGGCCGCGTTGTGACAAGCTTAATGTAAGTATCCTTATAGATTATGCGGTGGCTTCGGTTGAACAGAGGTACAGGGACCAATTGACTCCAATTCTCCGAAAGGCATCAAGATCAGGCGACCTAGTCAGGGTGAAACAGAGGTTTACCAGTGTCTTTCAGTTACACTCACAGAAGCCCATCGACCTGATGGCTTTCAAGACAGAAAGACATATTGGTACTTTACAAAATGGAGAAACCGTGAGGTGACAGATTGAGTCAGATAGAACATATAAGTACCGAGAAAGATGGCAAGCGAAATCATTGCTGCAGATATTCTGTCAGGTGATCCAGGGTTTGGTTTCTACCATTTATAAAGTTTTTATTATAATTCTTGACCACCTCACTAACAGATGGTTTATTAGGTCTTATTTTTAGGACTGGCTGAAGCAGATCTCATGCGTTACTAATCATACAGGCGTTTTGTCCTCCTTTAAATTTTCTTTCCCACCAGGCATCTCCATCCATATGAAAGTTTCGTTCAAACAGAAATATTATAGAACGCATACCCAGGTTGTATTTTAGATTCGAAGGGATACGTCATTTCGCACCAAGGAGTAACAGTGAGGCGGGATGGACCAAGTGGTTAGAGCGCGAATTTACTGACCGGAAGGCCCGTGGTTCGAACCCGACCTCTGCCTCTCGACTTCCCCTGTCTAGGCTTGGGCAACCTGGCAGTATCCCAGTCCTCTTGCTTCCTGCTTCGAAGGAGTAACTGTGACTTCCTCTATCTACGGGCTCTCAGACACCACAATCAGAGATATCATCGTCTCACACAGTTGTTGCAATGTCTTCTGAACCGCAACCAACGTCGTTTGAGGAGTCCAGTTTTAAAGTCCCGCGTTGTTAACCAATCAATTTATTAGCTATAAACCGTGTTCCATAGGCACATTGGTTTTAGCTGCTACAGTTTCGATCACCGGAAAACGGAAAAGTGGAACATACAACCAAGCCGTGGAGGCGAAGGCATGTTCTATTTGTTCAGAGATTGGGTAGCTACGCATTAAAGGCGATAGCTCTGATGCACGAGCGCCACTGACTGCACGACTGGGCCATTTCCGCCAATGTCATCAACCAGTGATGACTTGAGTCCCGGGGTGTCCATCCAGGAAGGCGGCAGTTGCCTACCCGACTAAGTTTACTGGTTAGCGTTTTCGTACTTCGTGGCCAGGTCCCGCGTTGTAAAATATATTGTGTCCGTCTATCTCACGGTTCTCAAAGCTTTTCTGCTGCCAGCCGGGAAGATGACTGCCTGAGTTTCGCGGGGAAATTTAGCGAAAATGTAAACTGGACAAGAGCACAACGTGCGTTTTTCATCGATAGCTAACGCTCCATGTTGACATATCAAGCAACATAGTTTAAACCCAATACCACAAAAAGGTTGCCGAATGCATTGCGCCACATAATTATGCTTCGCGTCCGAAAAATATACCGCCAGAACGTGCTTCTGATGAATGGAGCGACCAGGTTACGCAGCGAGATCCTCAGCCAAAATAACCATATGCCTTTACTCGGGATTATGGTCCGAGATGAAAAGTTTTCACCCGGTGTGCATAAATGGCCGTGAACAGACATTATTGTAAAAATCGCTGCGCGATTTGTTCTGGAAAAGAATAGTCGGATGGCACACTGACATAAGTTAATATGAATCCAAATGGGTGAGAAAGTCTCAGCTTCGGAATCAAGGCTAGACTGGAAACTGTGCAAGCCAGTGCAGCAGCTACATAGTCTCCGAAGTTCATTGTCGGTGGATTGCGGGTAGCGGGTGTGCTGCAACCCCAATCAGTGTACATGGATTTTGTATTCCAATTCTCTGAAAGCAATAACTGCCCATCGATTAAGTGGCAAGAGTACAAGGAAAAGAGACCAATTCACTTGAATGTTCTAACGACAAATGGTGCAAGGCAATAGAATCAGGTTTGAACAGCGGATTCGAAGCAGCAGATGTGAGTAGTGAAAAGGATGCCTGATTGAACTGCAAACAGGTGAGATCTACAGAGATGCAATTAATTAAGTGACAAACGAGGAACTTGGAGAGGATAATGAAGAAATATGGAGAGGTTACAAATTGCATGTTGGCCTTATTCCGCTCGGCTGTGTGCATCGAACAAGATGACTCGGCTGACGGGAACACGCGACGGTGGGATGTAGGTATTTTTGTTTGCGCATCACGTGGCTACATATGGACTCAGATACTTCCAAGCCCAAAACCAAACTGGAAGACGGTTAAAGTTTTAACCGAAGCCTGTGGCCTAAAACCTGACTACAATGTAGCAGCAGAAGCAGTTGGAACAAGACTGCCAGACGAGTCAAACTTTTGAGGAACGAGCTGTCACTCATGTTCCGAAGCCAATCTAGGGGGCTAGGAGACTGTTTGTCCGGCTTCTAGTCACTGGCCAGCCTGGTTGGATAAATTCTGTAGATGCAGCATGGGTTGTTATGGCTGTAAACCGTTGCTCCTCTATAAGCTTCAATCTCTTCGCAGTGGTTGAAGCGTTCATTTTACTCAGCTTATTTGTTACTTGTCAATGTCCCCACTCTCCAAGATGACGTTTGCGGCGGTCAAAGTGCATCGCAGCTTGACAGAATCCGTCTAATTTCCTGTTCAGGTTGTAGACTCATTTATTCCTCTATCTATTTGGAAACCTCCATTACGTCAGTGAAGACGATGTGTTTGTAGAAGACCGGTGATGCTCGTTCCATTTCCAAATGGGTTTTGGGTCAGATAACAGATAACATCACTGCTTTTAGCTGAGGAGGGTGCACGAGGTTGCAGGAGTTGAGAAATTCTGATCTGGTAAGTAAATCTGAATAGGGACAAATCTAACAGATCGAAAAGAGATCTTGGTGGTCCGCCTTTTTTATGCAGAAAAAGCCCTTATCGTCGTGATGATACTCAGCTAGCAAGATTCAATTTGATAAATTTGGTGAATTTATTCACAGCTTACGCCATGATTTGGGCTTTCCTAGGTAGTGTGTGTTCTAGTCAAGTGAAAGTGACCAAAGTCACTATGAAAACGTACCAATCAACAAACAAGTCTATACTCAATGGATGAGAAAGAAGGCGATTCGATATCGACAACCAACCGCAGACGTTTAAGGAAGGAACGCCTATTTAGAGAACCAGAGGTCCCATCATTTTGTGTAGGATAGAGAGAAATCAGTTGATTTGTGTTTGAATTGCATAAGAGGCGAGCAGATCACTAACATTTAGTAAAGGTGTTCGGAAATTACTATAACCTGGACCAGTGTTGAGACCGTGAACTCAAAGGAAATTCAGAACACGCACTTGATCGTAATGTAATGGTAAACCTTGCCAACACAACCGTAGTAACTTCGGTGCAATTCGCATCTGTGCGGTCAAAAGAGCGGGACCAGCGTCCAAATTTTCTTTTATCGGCTTGGGAATCAATTCACGATACCACCTAAGAGGGCAACAAGAAATATTATGTAGACAATGGGCGAAAATGTGGTTGGATTCAGAGTGGTACTCATCATCATTACCAGCATAATCGGTAACAGCAGCATCACCATGCTCAATCTATTGAACCGTTATGAAACTATTGGTCTTTATACAGCTCATAGTTGTTGCGGATACATGGGGCCTAAACGGGAACACGACTAAGTTTCCTAACAACGCATGATTATACCTCAATAAGTTATAGAGGCTCACAAACTTTACATCACGGAAAGGTTAAGTCTGTTGGTGAGGGAAGATAAACTCAGTAAAATGACACTTTTGGGGTGATGTAAGAACTCCCCTAGGCCCACTCAGTAGATCTCGTTCCCTGATGATAAACTAAACTGAGTACAGACCAACACTCCTACTCACATAGACGGCACCTACGTGCTAGAGCCACCGTGGACGAAGTGTCATAAAGACCAGCAGTTTTGTTAGGGCTGCAGATTTTCCGCGCGAAGATATCAAGGCATTTCTTATGGGAGGTCCAAAACCAAATCATCGGCATCCCGGGACCACTGGATGAAAGCGAGGAGTTCCAAAGGTCGTTTCAGTGTGACATCGAGTCAGCAGTAACTTTTTACCGGGGTATCAGGCTTTCCGTGGAGTCATCCAAAGGGAGGTAATATAAACACAGAAAACTATTCATCCTCGCAATGCTCCTAAAAAGAAACGCTCACCTGTTCGGTGGAACGCTCTTGAAAGCAGACACACGAAGCTCGGTTAATTAACTCACATCGACTAGCTCCCGTAACACCATGTGCAGGCTTCCGAAGTATCTCGGTCACGGCAGTCGGCTGCCAAATGTACACAACTCGCGATTTAATATTGATTCCACTAAGACGGACACGCTACATATTTCCCTTGGGTCTTGGTGTTCGGGTAGCTAAGACACCCCGAGACCGTGGCGCATCAAAGATACGGATGTGAGGTATTACTGATCCGACAAGGTCGCAGAAGTTGACAGAGCATAAATATGCGGTCGTGAGTAAAGAACGGCTGCCTATCCAAGACGCCAAACGTATGCACTACGTATAAATCGACAGGGTTGTGACAAACTCTGATGAAAGTAGGAAATTCGAACCGATGTCCCTCTAGGCGAGCGAAGGACCATAGGTGCTGTGTGTTTTAGATAAACGATGGAATGTGAAACAAGATATGGAACGCGCTATGATCTTTCAAAGGCAATGTTTATCAGAGCCAATCCCTTGAGGCTGTCATGAGTTGCCGATCATCTGTGCAGCAAAAACCTTATGCCAAAATGAATTTGTTTTTAGATGCCCGTCAGTATCGATCTGAAATCCTTTCAGTACTCCCAGCATCTAGCATAGACACAGTAAAGGACTCAATGTAAGCACCTTAACCTTTCTTTGCATGAGACAACATGCTCGATATCATTTATGACTCGGTGAATCGATAATTCAGGTGACCTTGATGAAGCGAAGACCACCCACGTGACTAGTTCAACGTGACCTGGGCTACTGGCGTCTGATTTGAACATCGAAAATCCAGAGGACGTGAGTAGGGGCATGCGATTCATGCACAAGCCAGTATTCTGATTGTTTAGTTGTGCACAAGCCAGGAAGCGCGCGCGTTCAAATTGCATTTGTACACGAGCCAAGAAAAAAACGAGTTAAGTGGTTGAAGCGTATAGACCAAGGAAAGATTCACTGTCAGTGCAAGCAAGAAAATAGCACGAAACAATTTTAATGATTTATTGCAGGAGGCCTCTGCTTCTCCACGTGAAATATGTACAGTAGGACGTTTATTAAATAAGAAATCTTAACATCACAGAACGTATCCACATACCTTAACGTATACATCGACCTGTCTTTTTAAACAACCTTTTTCTGACTCCCTACATTACTTCCTCCAATAAAAGCTTGGAAGGAAGTCGACATTTGTGTTTTCAGAAATCTCGATTCAAACTTAACTATGTAACCATAGTTAAGACTTCGCACTCGGAGCATTAGATTGCTTTCATCTTAGTTAGTCATATTTTGATGCTATATATGACTCAGCAAAAGCATTAGCATCCTATGAAGTAGCAAGTTAATCGAGGAAGTCGAAAAGAAGTCAGGCAAAGTCGTCCGGACTTGAACCGCGAACCACCAGGCCCGCTCCCAAGCTTAACCCTCTCGGCCATTGGTGCAAGCCTCTGCTAAGCTAGCTGGCCCTCGTATGTAGTGGTTGTGTGTTTTGGTGTGGATCATGTGACTGGGACCAACTAATCATTTGCTTCAGTTTGGCTTGTGCATGAATCGACTTCCGTGAGTAGGGCGCTGGAATGGCTGGTCTTACTGGTCTGTGAGGGGGTGTTGTTCTGACGAATAGTGTATGGATACGTTTTCTCCTTTTTGTTACTGCTCCTGGGCTCCATTTCAACCACAGACGGTGACTGAATCCTGGAGGATAAAAAATGTAGAACGAAGCGTCTATTTTCAGTCTAGCAGCATATCTCCAGTAGTCAGGCTCAATCAGAAGGATATTCGATGAAACCTGTTGAGATCGTAAGGTGATCATCTCAGCAGGAAGCCACTCCCACGTATTGAACACTACATGAAAAGTAACAGAAAAAGTGGTCGGTGGCTAAGCAGCATACT